TCTCGGACATGGTGCCATACTTGTCGTACTCGCTGTCGCACACCTGGTTGCTGCTGCCAGACGCTGAGCCACATGTCCACGGTCTTGGCTGGCATCGCCACGGCAGGATCCCCTCCTGGCGCTCTCAGGTCCAGGAGGGTAGTGAGGCATCGGCCTCTTGTGGCAGCAGCACAGGTCTGACCGAGTCGGCGGCGATGGGTTGTCAGCTGGTGGCCGAACATCCCGTGCACCTCGAAGCCGTAGGAGCCCGCAGGTTGGCAGCCATTGCGCTCCAATCGCGTCGTAATCCCATACCGTCGAGTAGCTCGGCTGAATCTCCTCACCTTCTCGTTCATCGCTCCGTGCTTGATCTGTCGCTGCGTCCTGGTGGCACGTCCCAGCTTGCCGCAGCTGAAGTCCACCCCCAAGTACGGCGCCTGCGTCATGGCCCTGACTGGGAAACCCTTGAGCCTGGCGGCCCTGGCCACAGCGCGGGCGTCGTCGGGATTCGTGCACATGATCACAGACTTCTTGGCCAGCTTGAGGCCTGCCTTGGCAAGCTCCTGGCCCGCCTTCACAACTCCACGTATAAGGTTAGCCCTGACTGCCTGGCGTGAGCCCGTGATCTTCTGGCATATATCATCTATCCAAACTCGATGGTTCATCCTGGGCGTCGCCGTAACCACCACCTGCATCACGAAATGGGTGAGAATCTTGGCGAATCTGGTTCCCCCTCGCAGCCCCTGGATGACTGACTGGCAGGGCTCGAAGGGTGTGCACACAGCTCCTTCCTGTGACAACGTCCGCATCGTTATGCACTGGAGGAGCTCCAAATATAAGATGACTGGTGGAAAGTGCAGCCTCAATGCCGCCCTCACCAGGGGCAGCCAAGGTATTGAGTCGTAAAATTCTTGAATGTCGAGCAAACCTTGCCCGAACTCCATTCGCATCCAGTGCGCAACTTCCTCGTCAATGGCATGAAGATATGCTTCACGCAAACAACTATTCCCAGCAACTGCGGCATCCCATGCCTGTTCTTGATCTTTGCTCCATTGCTTCACTATAGGTTCCCTGATGTGGGACCAGAGGCGGCCCATCATAGATATCCTACCTATGCCTCTGTCTCCCTGGGATTTCTTGGGAGTCAAGAAGGTCACGATGAGCTGAGTCTGGGCTGGCCAGGTGAGCAAGGTTTCAGCGTTCTTCAGAATATCTGTGAATTCCTCGATGGCCTCACGGGGGAGGCGTTGGAAGTCGACTGGGCTCAGGACGTCCACCCCCAGCCCTGCCTTTGCCTTCATGGCCTTGGCGCTGGCGTAGACCAGGTCTGGGGTAAGCTCAGGAAGCTCCTCGCCCTGGGCCGCCTCTCGAATGAGACGAAACACTTCCGTAATCTCACTGACGTCGGGGGGCCGTGGGGCCCACGTCCGCTTGAAAGTCACCGCCTTGTGCTCCATGATGTCAGCTGGGTGAACGAGGGTGCGCTCCCCCACCTCCAGCTCGCTCGGCGGTAGTGGGTTCACCTTCAGTGACTTGTGGAGGATGCCCACGGCCTCTGGTCGCGTCACGAAGGTCTTAAAGCTGGAGATCGACTCGTGGACTGCAGCACGCTGAGCCCTGCTGGCCACCCGCTTTGCTGCCAAGACATAGTTCTCCAGCACTGGGGTCGACAGTCGACTCGGGTCGCCGAGGACAGCCAACCACTGGTCCCACGGGGCCTCACGGCCCGCGTTCAGAAGGCTATGCACCCCTTCTGGCCTGGACTGCCGTAGGTGGGTGCTGGCCTTGCCGTACTCCTGCTGCTGGCGCTGGCCGTTGTCCCTGCACTGGTGCCTGAGAACTCCAGCGAGCACCGTGTGGACGCGAGTCCACCACTGGCTACGTTGATCATGAAGGGCGAGCTCCCGCACGTGAGCCGTGACCCTCATGGGCTTCTCATGGATCCTGGGCCCCACGGCGCGCGTGGGCCCAGCAGGGGGCCTGACATGATGATGAGTATGGAAAGCCTGCTCGACCGCCGTAACCCAGGTCGCGTACTGCCCCGTGAGGAGCTTCCCGCGAGCGGGTTCGAGCGAAAAGGCTACGGAGGAGGACAGGAAAGGGGAGAGATTCGCCACGGCATCCGCTCCCGACCGAAAGCCCACCTGCAGTCGAGCCTCGGCCCACGTGGACGCAGGAATTTCAAACGAAGGGTCGGGCACATCTTCGACCACGGGGCACGAGGGAGCTACCTGCTGGGGGGGGTCGGGGCGATGCAACTGAGCACTACTATTACCATCTTTGCTGCTAACTACGGGTTTACTTGAAACCGCCGAGGGGGGAAGGGGTTGGGCCTCGCATACCGACGAATTGACACTGACACTCACATTGACTGTATCGGGCTTTTTGTCCCCGACGGCCGATGCGCCGACCGCACCCGATCCATCGGACAACAGCTCGCCACCTAGGTGTGAGTCAGGACAAAAATTAAACTCGTGGGCCCAGGGGTCCTCCTCGTCCTCTGGGAAAGCAAAAAAATCGTGGTCTAGATCAGGATCCTGATCGGCCTCCTCGATCACCTGGGGACGGGCAGTCCCTGTTTGTGCGGGAGGCTCCAAAACGTCCCCGAAGGCCTCCTGGAACCCCTCGACCCTCTTGGCGTGAGCTTCCTGGCGTCTAACAACCGCAGCGGACCTGGCCAGGCTGGACTTAGAGCCAGGAGTGGGCTCACACCGGGGCCTCGGGAGTTGGGGCAACTTCGGGGGCAGAGAAATCTCACGCGTCCTAAGGGTCTGGCCTGAAGCACGTAGGCTCAAGGCTAGCCCGAGGTGAGGCTTCCACGGGACACTTCTGACTACTTCCAGGCTATGGATGAATGAGGACGCGGCAGCGCTCATATAAACAAAGTCGATCATTGTGTCAGGTCCTTTTTTCTGGGCACAGGTGCCCTCAACTCCAGCTGGTACTCGCACGTGGCCTCCCGTCACTCTGTGGAAGGCTGTGCGCATGAGCTCGTCTGGCGTCATGTTGAAGTCGCCGATGATCAGCCACGGGACTCGAAGTGAACGCAGTAGCCCTCCGAGTCGATTGAATCTCTCGATGTTCCTGCCCGTCATCTTGATGGACGGCAGCGCGTACAGGGCAACCACCACGATCGCGTAGCTGTGCTGCTGCAGTATCACTGGGCAGAATCCGTCGTAGGCCGACTGCTTCGGCGCCTTGAGGTACTTGGCGGCCGCCCTCGCCTCGGGCAGCTGCTGGATCTGTAAGTGTTTGCGGGACAAAATCATCTCGCCTCCCTCGTTCGAGTGTGCCTCCCTAGCCTTGGACACGACCTTCGAGGTGCGGCGAGCCGAATTCATGATCATGCGGAGGTTGAGAGCTCGGCTTGCCTTTGTCCACTTCTTGACGTCCGACTCACGATGAATATGAGTCTCAGTCATTACCCAGTGGTCGTAGGCTCCCGTGTGCTCCTGTACGTACTTCCATACCTTGTCCGTTAGGCATGTGACGTTCGAATAGAATAGCCTAGTGCATTCCCCTTCGTCACAGCCCGCCCCCTCGGTCTTGTGGGTCCGAGGGGTCCCCGTTCGACACCGTCAGGCTGAGGGAGCTGCAGGCGCCCCAGCTGCATCACCACTGGCGGTGCCCTTGCCCTTCGCCTTCGTCACCGTCTGCTGCGCTAGGAACTTGGCCGCAGACAGCCTCTCCGCCTCCGCCTTGACGGCGTCTGAGGGTTCAGCTGCCGCCGCCGCCCCGCCGCCGCCGCCTGTGGAGTTCCCTGCCGCCGATGCCGCCGCGGCGGGAGGTGCCCCCTGGCCCCCGCCGCCGTCCGCCGTGGCCGCCTCCTCAGGAGCGCCGTCCGTAGGTGCACGTCTCTTCTTCTTCGCCCGCTCCTCGATGGTGCGCCTATGCTGCTGCATGGCCTCCAACCACTTCTGGATCTCAGCCTCCTTGCCCGTGAGAGTCTCCTTGGCGCCCTGCAGTTGGCCTCGGAGCTCCTCTAGGGCCTTCTTCTCCGCGTCCGTGGCGTCCAGTGCCGCCAGGTTCGTGAAGAAGCTGTCGTCCCACTCGAGGGAGATGATCTTCTTCTCGCCATCGGAGCTGATCTTGGCCTCGGTGACCCCCTCGGCCTTGGCCAATGCCGTGGCCGCAGCTCGCTTGGCCTCGGTGGTCCCGGCCAGGTGGATGGCCGCCGTCTTCTCCTTCGCCTCCGCTGCCGCCAGGTTGCTGCGGAGGCGAATGACATTGCTGACCGCCTGGCTGTGGAGGTGCTCCGCGTTCCTCCACGCCCCGTCGGCCCTGCGTAGGGCCTCTGCGGGCGTGGTCTTGGCGGCCTCCCGCCCGCTCTCCTCCTTGGCGAGCTTGTCCAGCTGCGCCTGGAGGTCCGCCTTGAGCGTGGGGTCGGTGGCTGCTGCAAGGGCCTGCTCCAGGAGGCTCTTCACGGACTTGCCCCCCTTGCCGCCCTTGCCGCCTCCCAGCCCGCTCCCCACGGGGCCCTTCAAGATGCCTGGGCGCCGTGGCAGCGGGCGCTCGCTCTCACTGCCGCTGGTGGCGTCATAGAAGCCGTCGGCGTCGCTGTCGCCGAAATCATCCACGAACTGCACCCGCCTCGGTCTCCTCTTCTTCTCGAACGGCTTGACCTCATTGCCACATCCGTTGCAGATGTTGTGGCGGCGGGCCAGTACCCCGTTCCATTCACATGTCTGGCACTGCGCACATCTGGTCCACAGCTGCTGGTGCTGCTGGTGCTGGTGGCCGCCCGCCATTGCTTCTGTCCCTGTGTTGGTCGGTGCCTCTTCCTGGCTGGCACGCAGAAAAGGCACAGTCCCTCAAGCGCTACTGGGAAGCCCAGGGACGAACTCAAGAGAGCAAGTGGGCCTCCTGGGGCCCCTCACCCGCTCGAGCCCAAGTTGCTTGAGCGCCCATAACGATGGAGGAGGAGGAGGAGAAGTAGGAAGGAGGAGGAGGAGGAGGAGGAGGAGGAGGAGGAGGGAAGAGGAGGAGGAGGAGGAGGAGGAGGAGGAGGAGGGAAGAGGGAGGAGGAGGGCACGTCACCTCGATTCCCTTCCGCTGCCTCCGCGCAGCCTCTCGATCTCGGCTCGGGGCACCGGGGTGGCGACCGCCCCCCGGCCCCGTCTCTCGCGCACAGTGCGAGCCGCATGGTGCGCCTGCTTTTGCTCAGTGCACCTGCCTCAGCTCGGCACAGGCGGTGCGCGCAAGCGTAGTGTGCAGGCCAACAGAGCCCCTGCATCCCGACGACCCCGGGGCGGGCCGTTTCCCGTGACCTCGGCATCGCTCGGACGTGCGCTGTGTTTCTCATCTCGGCGAGGACCATCGAGGAGCACCCTGGATGCTCGAGCGGAAAAAAAGGGCACGAGGACCATCGAGGAGCATCCTGGACGATCGAGCGCAGAACAAGCGCGCGCACGACATCGAAAAGGGCACGGGGAGTGGACGTCCGAGCGCTGGCGAGGTGGCCCCCGCGTGCGCTCGGTGGCCCGAGCCTCCCCGCAGACGCGCCAACGGCGAGGTAGGTTACGGCGATGTGGGCTTCGGCATTGCAAGGAAGGCGGCGGAGGAGGCGGAGGAGGAGGAGGAGGAGGCGGAGGAGGAGGAGGAGGAGGAGGAGGAGGAGGGAGGAGGAGGAGGAGGAGGAGCAGCAGCAGCAGGAGGAGGAGGAGGAGGAGGAGGAGGAGGAGGCGCCGCAGAAGCCAGGTTCCCAACGTCGCCCGCAACCAACATCGCCGTTGGCGTGGCCTTGGCCTTTGCCGTGCCAGCGGGCGGCCACATCTTCCGGACTGGCCTCGGCGACGACGACGACGAGGACGACGAGGACGACGACGAGGACGACGACCAGGACGACGACGACGACGACGAGGACGACGACGTCGACGAGGACGAGGACGACGACGAGGACGACGACGACGAGGACGACGACGTCGACGACGACGACGACGAGAACGACGACGACGAGGACGACGACGACGACGACGACGAGGACGAGGACGAGGACGAGGACGACGAGGACGACAACGTCGACGACGACGACGACGACGACGACTTCGACGACGACGTCGACGACGACGACGAGGACGACGACGACGACGACGACGAGGACGAGGACGAGGACGTCGACGACGACGAGGAGGACGACGAGGACGACGACGACCCCCGTCTTTGCACAGCACCGCTCCAGTCAGGGTTTTCCTTTTAAAGTGAAGTGCGTTTTGCCAAACAGCTTCGCTGGAAGACAGCGGCCGAACTGCGGTATTGCACTCTCGTTGGAGGCGTCGTTGCATCCCTCCTTGTCCTCCTTCCTCTCCCATCCCATTCTCCGTCCCTCCTCCTTTTCCTCACCCATTTCCTTTGGATTCTCCTTATCTCGGGGGTGCACAGACTTCCTACCCAGACACGTCGATTGGCCGTTGTCGGTTCGCGCGAGGGCGTCGCGGCCGTCATTTTTGCGGGTCCAGGTCCGTCGGTTTCGGTCCCAGGCCGTTTTCACCAAGGGGAGGTTTGCTGAAGGGAGGTTTGTCCACCGCCGACCTCTCCCATCCCTCTCTCCGTCCCTCCTCCTTTTCCTCACCCGACTCCTTTGGATTCTCCTCATCAATTTCCCCATCAGTGTCCTCCTCTTGTTCCTGCTCTTCCCCCTCCTCCTCTTCCTCGTTGCGGATGCAACCTCACCTCTTGCAAGAACCAGGGGCGCGCGCTCATTGTCCGTGGCAGCACTAGGCGCATGACATGTAGACCGAACGTGCACAGAAAAAAAGCAGTTTGAGCGCCAGCCTAAATTTGATGTGCATTGAGCGCGAGATGGCAATGTACGGATGCGATGGGAAGACGATGATATTATGCAATGTTTGCCAGCGTTGGCCCCAAGCAGCGCCGGTTCAAGAGCTCAAAGAGCTCAAATTCTGGAAAGTAGGAAACATAAGTGCACGCACTGTTTGGGGAACAGTCCGATCTAAATTTTCTCGGGCGCCTGAATGCGGTGGCAATTCACATAATCACCTTTCGAAGGCTTTCGGAGTTTGGCACGGCCTCCAAACTTCGAGCTCGACACTGTGCAAGATACACAAATCTGCCAGAATTCGTATCATTTGGCTTGTGTGATCTGCCCGGTATACTCCCATTTGATTCCCATAGCCCCCTGGTGTGGCAGTGAGGTGGCAACCTGAACGGCCACTCTTCGAGGGCTGTTTGGGAGCTGGCACTGCTTTCCGGCCTCGAACAAAACACCGCGCAATATGCAAATCGGCCAAACTCCGTACGTATCGTCTGGCTTGTGTGACCCCTTTTGGCTCGTGCGACCCGTGCCCTCTGCGCCCCATCGGCGAGACCCTAACAACAGTTGATGGCACAAGCTTGGGCGCGAAATCTGCGCCCTGGTTGGCTTGAGTC